ACTGTAGTTCCATGTAGTAGGAGGTGAACCTTAAGATGCATAGCGGTTACAGAGTTCCATATTGATAACATCATAACATCCAGCCTTTTATCCCCGAAGAAGTAGACAGAGGTGCACATCATGCCAATGTACAATGTAACACCCACTTTTTCTCTCTTTATGTTACGAGTCCCATGTAAGAAGGGGTGAGCCTATTGCCATATACCGGGCACAATTCCAGACTCCGTGCTACTACTAAGGTTTTAAAAAAAATCCAGTATTAAAATAACTATCGTGAGACATACTAAATTAAGTAAAATCGCGGGTTACCTACGTGAATATACTGAGAAAAGCTCTACTAGTTTCGAACCACAGAGGGGTTCTTCCTCATGAGCAGCGTGCGCGGTCGCGGCGACGTCGCGCAGCTCACCCAGTGACTTTGTACTTAAATCCAGTATTACTTTGTCCGACCCGGGAATCGAACCCAAGACCCCTTGCCCAGCAGTCGAACTTGCTACCACTCGGCCAACGTAACGAGGCAACCATTATTGACTTCGGTCTAAAATGAATACCTACCTATTAACAAAATGAAACCTCGAACGGACTCGACTAACTGCCAATTTCAATGACCTATCTCAATTCTAAGTCTTTTTTATATATTTGAATTTTTTTTTCATATTCAAATCATTTATTGCGAACATAGGTCAAGTGTATATGTTACAGTAGTTATTATAAAATAATTGGATCAGCTACATTCTGCCAATTAGCGTGCAATACTTATTGACGACGTTTGACCACTATCTCGCCTGGTGGTAAGCGATGATGCGGCCTACGATGGAGCACGTCGTCCCATAAGCAACCTATTCAATCGGGCCTTGAATATCGGTAATCTGATTTTTGGCAGTAAGTAACAAGGAACTAATTTAAATTATTGTTAACTAGCTTTTACCCGCGGCTTCGCTCGCGTCACAAAAGGATAAAAAGTAGCCTATGTGCCATATACATACAGCGCCATCTATACCAATACTTTGGTTTTCCCTCGGGAATATCAATTTTTTCCGGGATAAAAAGTACCCTATTATTTAATCCGGACTTCTAACTTTATGTCTGCAAAAATTCAAAGCAATCGGTTTAGTAGTTACGGTGTGAAAGCAGAACAAACAAACTCACTTTCCGATTTATAATATTATAGTAAGGATAAGGATTCTTTCTTACATTTTATACCTACCTTCCAAGTAATGAGAAATCTAACTAAAATTATAAAATACGAATATGTGTCCACGAATTCGTTCCCGTAACAACAGAGGGGTTTTTGTGTAGGGAATATAATAATACAGACGGCTAGACTGGAGGGTGATATAGGCACCCCTTTTTCATTCCCTTTGATGCAGACAAAGCCGCGAGGGGAAGCTAGTATTGACAAAACCATTCCCCTAGCGCACCCTAGTCCACCCTAGTGTACCTACCCTTTAGTCTATATTCTCTTGCAATAAGGATCAATATTGCATATCAGCCTCACCCCTCGAAGTACGCATGCCCGTTAGGGAGTCTATAGGTAATCTAGATTCAACTTTGAACTTTAAGTGCGTTGCGTACAACGTAGGGCGCGTCCGCTGCATTTATTGATCGTGATGTTCCCCCATGTAAGCCCGGTTTGTAGTTATACACTTATATTCTGTCTGGGTTTTGTCCGTGCTTAATGTAGCTACCTAGGTTTTATATTTTAGGCTATGCTGTCTACCTACTGTAGGAATATTAGGATGAAAACTAACTTGAGTTACTCTTTGAGACGTAAGCTGTATATTGGTATAAGAATTTTCCAAATCTGTCCAGTAGTTTTGGAGTTAAGACATATAAAGAAAAGTACCTACCTACCTATTATCTATATTATACAAAAAAATGAATCTCTTTTTCCCTTGGTCACGGTATCACACGTGAATGGCTGAACCGATTTCACTAATTCTTCTTTGTTGTATTTGTTACTATTAGGAGAAGGTGCTTAAGACAGAAAAAATCCCAAAAATCCTACGGGAACGAGAGAACACGGGATTGCGCGTACGAATCTAATATATAAAACTGAACGAAATCGAACCCGAGATCCCTTACCTGGCAGTCGCACTTGCGACCACTCGGCCAACGAGGCGGGCTTAAAAGACAAGATTCCATGTTTATTTAATACCTTATTGTCTATGAAATCATAATGAGACACTTAAGTAATGAATTAGCAGCCTCTATAGGAGGCACTATACTAATTAATATTACATAGAGCTTTAGATAAAGAGGCCCACATAATTGGAATTGACAGTGCTTTTTAAGCACTTAATTTAGAGAGCCTTTTAATAAATATTATTACTAGAATTTAGTTAAGGGGGGAAAATCATCGAATGACAGACTCTTACTGTCTAAAAACCACCCCGTTCCTTCTCCTGCACGTCGAGCCGGAGCCCCGGCAACTTGGTTAAGTTCTCAGCGGTTCCGTATCGCCATCAGCCCTATTGGGCCCCATCCGTGATTACTTCACACCACGGTTGTGTCTTGGAGATAAGCATTGGATATAATATTATTATTAATAGTCGAGATGCTATTAGGTAATAATCAGAAGACTGATGACTGTTGATGAAGCAAAAGAGGTATGTAAGAATCGTAGCAATTGGCGTTCCATAGTCACTGTCTAACCCCATGGGAGATAGGCTATTAATATTGGTGAAAGTAGTGATTAATTTTACTGCTCAGTGGGTTCAATTCCCACACAAACCAATAAAGTAGACGCCTTATTTTATTTTAATGTCCGTCTGGTAGATTATTTAAAAACATTAGACTCTAATTTTTACTTTGTTGCCAGGCGTAATTATAAACTCTAATTATCAATTAACAAACAAAATTATAACCGGAAATCAAATCTGAACCCTTTCACTCAGCAGACACACTTGCGTCATTACCCGTAAATAAAACACAGGTCATCCCTTGTTAAAATTTATTTATAAATCGCGACCTTTGGAGAAATACTTAAAAATAAAATGGTGCCTATCGATTTCTTTGTAACGAAAATATGTTTAGGTACTTGAAATGGGACTTCCTACGCGCGAAGATTCTGTATTTTTCCATTCGTAGAGATTTCTAAAACCTCTTTCAATGCTACAGCTAGCTTCACAGACGGACAGACTGAGACCTATTTCTTTTGTACTAGCTACTTCCGTGCGGTTTCACACGCTCTGCTCAGCTATTGGTCGTAGCGTGATATTTTATAGCCTATAGCCATCCTCGAAAAATGCGCTATCCAACACAAAAACAAATAGGTATTGAAATCAGACTTGTAGTTACGGAGATTTGCGCGTTCAAACAAACAACTTGACGTTTCAAAAGTTTTTTTTATGGAGTAGGAGGTAAACGAGCAGACGGATCACCTGATGGTAAGCGATCAGCGGCGCCCATGGACACCCGCAACACCAGAGGAGTCACAGATGCGTTGCTGGTCTTTTAAAAAGGGGTACCTACGCTCTTTTCTTGAAGGTTTGAAGGTCGTATCGTATCGTAAAAGTACCAATTTATGGTTTAATTGAAATAAAAGCATTGCATTTGACTCTCCTAATACCCCTTACATTTTCCAATCAATTATAGTAGTTAGCATATCAACCTTCTCCAGTGTGTCAATTATTGTCATTGGATTTTCGACTTTACAACTAAACGATAGAATTGAAATATGAAGAAATGGATAGACAACTTCCTAAAAAATCTAGATTTGTCCAGTTCAGTCAGGAATTAAAAAAACTCTTACTCTTCCCTAGCAAGAGACAGATAATGTACCTATTTAAATCAGCAATAATGCTTTAAAATAGTTGTAAATCAAATTTTTGGTCTTAAGGTATCTCAAAATATTAACTAACAATAATAACGACTTTCAATAAAAAAAAACCGTTTTCAATAACAAAGAATTAAAACCAGTTTATTCAAATTCATTCAGATGCTACCCGGAGCCAGACAGATCGAAGTTAGGTACAAAACGACCCTCTCTTTGATTTGAGGGTCAAAACCACGATGACTAAGCTCACAAAAGGGGTGCGCAAAGTCCAATATAACTAGACACGTGGGGGAATGAAGTACTAAATGCAATGCATTCATAATGACGCCCTTTCTTTTATAACGGTGCATGTGGCGCCGCCATGATAGATCAAGATACGCTGGATGTCTGCGTCTATGGATTTCCCCGCCATTGACAGATGCTAAAATCGGTTTGGGGTAGGTTTGCTTCGTATGAATTCTAGAATATCGATTTTTGGTTTATTTTGTACGATTTTTAAAGAAAAGTTTATCAAACGACATTTTTAGGTACAATTTGTATTACAAAAATCATTTGTAAGATTTTACGCGCGAAAATAGTTTTCAGATGTTGTTCTAGTTTCAAATTCAATGTCATTGTCAAAAAATAGTTTTTATTTGGAAAAGTAGAATTATGCTTTAATAAAGTAGGTATTGTTATTTGTTTTAAGTCATTATTAATTTTATGAATCAATAGATGGAGTTATACCTACTATGATTTTGATAAAATTTGTTCATATTTCAGTTTGAAAAGTTATTTTCAGAAATTCACACAAAACGGTAAACGTAACACGAATTATCAAAATGGAGTCGAAAATTAAATATAGGTAACTCGTATTTTTTATATAAACGAAATAACCGGGCAAGTACCTAAAATAAATCATAAAGAACCAAAAAATACATACCCTATGCTCCATGTTCTAATCACCCACACATTTTTTACAATTCGATTTAAAAATAAACTAATATCTTAAAAAACAAAATTCTAAACTTTACGCGCGGCCACAAAATAATACGCAGATAAAAAAATATAAACCAAACTTTTTAAAAAATATTCCACAAACAAATTCGAAATTCAAAATCGTGAAAAAGAAAAATAAAAAAACAAAAGAATCCTATTCACGCATAAAGCCCCCATAGGTAGATCGACAAAAAATCGGTGGAAAATTTTAACAAAATATTTATCAGAGATGGTTTGTACTTACCGATGCATGACTGGTCTCGTCGGCGTCCCTTGTAGAACTGGCGATCCATACCGGGCATCTCACTGCGCATGATGGGGTGGGTAGAGGGTGCGGTCAGGTGGGCGGGTAAAGCTGTGCGACTTCGTTCGAGAAAATTCTGCGTTTTTTTTTGTCGCGTGATATCGATTTTGTCTGGGGGAAATGCAAGGGAGACTGAGTCTAGTCTGAGTTTCATTACAGGTTTTATTATGAATTTATGTTTTAACTTGGAAATAATGAAAACGAGTGTATACATACGTTTATTTTTACGGTCATAATATTGTTTTTAAATTCAGTTAAATGAATCTACGTGCGATTTACTAGATTAGGTACTTATAATTTCCACACTAGGTATTAAGTTTTAAATGAGTTTTTTATACCGGCACGAATTTTATAGCCGAAGGGGTAGATAGAGGTCTATGTACATACATAATAACACAAGTAGAAGTACCTAATTAGTTAATAATGTCTGATTGTTGTTCACAAACCACAATCTGGCATTACTTTATTATGTCGGTTAGAAGTCTGTTATTTAATAATTATCAAGTACTTGTCCGAGTGGTCGCAGCATCTATAGCTACCGAGCAAGTCTCGAGTTGGACAATGTGTTATTAGGTTATTTTGAATTTACGAAAATTTCTCAATAATAATATAGTCTAGAAGTTTAGAGTGGTGGCTTATAGGCACATACCTATAGCTATTATGCAAAGAGACTTTACTCAATCAGTTACCTCCTATCATCACAGGGCCCATAACTAAATTGTGACAAGTTTGATCATAGACATATTAATCCTTACTAATATTATAAATCGGAAAGTGAGTTTTTTTGTTTGTTTGTTCCGTTTTCACGCCGTAACTTCTAAACCGATTGCTTTGAATTTTTACAGACGTAAAGTTATAAGTCCGGATTAAATAATAGGGTATTTTTTATCATGGAAAAATTTGATATTCCCGAGGGAAAACAAAAGTATTGGTATAGATGGCGCTGTGTGTATTGGTATATGTCACATAGGCTACTTTTTATCCGCGAGCGAAGCGGGTAAAAGCTAGTTATTATATAAGCATTTCTGCTAGTCCATTTGGGAACTATCACATTACCCACTACGTACCGGAGAATTTGTCGGGCGTCAGCTAAGAATTTATTTACCTTCAACAGTTTTCTGTCGCCAATCAAAAGCTTTTTTTAAGGGGTGAAAATCATCGAATGACTAAGAAAGAAAGAAGAAAGAAAGAAAAATAATTTATTTTTGCGCAGAACACACATAAAAGCTAAAAAATGAAAAATGCAGTCTTGTCCATGGTCCACAGACTGCTCCCGCCTTGGTGAGGCGAGAGGGAGTGTCAGACTCTTACTGACTAAAAACCACCCCGTTCCTACTTCCTGCCCTTCAAGCCGGAGCCCTGGCTACCCGTTAAGTCCTCTGCGGCTCCGTATAGGCCCTATTGGGCCCCATCCGCGGTGGTCTGATGGCTCTTTGAGGCGCGCGCAGAAGTTACGCACCGTACACTCGTGGTTCTAGTCGGGCGGCAAGCCATCCATGCTCGCCATCCGCAGGCCCCCGCTTACTGTGGCCAGTCAAGCTGACCAATCAAAAGCTTAAGGCGCAACTTTATATCACCAACCACCTTTGACATAGACAAAACACGCGACAATATTGTTAATTTTAGTCGCAAAATCGCATTCTTTTATTCTCAACTAAGAATAAGTCTTAACTTATCAGTTATGGACGAACGAAAATATACCTGACGTCACTACATAGATGAGCGTCAACGTATGTTTTCAGCCCCTGTCTAAAATGGGGTAGACAGAGGTGTCGAATTTTATGTTTATTTTTATTAATGACTTTATTGTGACGGTAGTGACAAGGATTGAAAAGGGAATGTTACGATGGTTTGGACATGTAGAAAATATGGATGAAAGCTGTTACAAAAGTATACAGGGTTAATATGAATGGGAACGTCGGTAGAGGGCGCTTTAGACGGACATATATCGACCAGATTGGCGATATATTAAAGGGCCAAATTAAAAGTACCCTTAACCGACGAGTATGCATGAAAAGACTGAAGACTGTTGATAAAGCGATTGGCGTTCCATACTCTCTGCCTACCTCCATGAAGGACAGGCCTGAGGGGCAGTATGTTTGTATGTACTTTATAGGCTGTGTGGTAACATTAACATACAGAGTAGAATACATTTATGACCACCTCTAATCTTCCCGCGGGTGTCGTATACCCGACTAAGGGACTACACATTTGACAGAGATCGGGCAGCAGCGCTCTCTGATAAACTTGAACCTTTTAACCTGATCTCCAACTTGCCTGCTTAGCGTGTACCTACTTTTTTTATTAAGGGGGGAAAATCATCGAATGACTGCTCCCGCCTGGGTGAGGCGGGAGGATTTTATTGAATTGAAATTGCATTGACATTGAGATTGATTTCAAGAGTAAGCACCCAGGTGCCACAGACTATATCCGTAATTTATTCAACGTCATTAGTCGCCACAGCGACTTCAAAAAAGAATTTAATTTCTTCTAGAAAGAAATGCAGTTGTCATTATAAAAGAAACAAGTTATTTTTTCAATCAATTTTATTTAACAATATTATTATTGTTTAATCTAGATACAAAATTTAAACAGTAGTCAAACAAAACAAACAAATAAATATGTTGGTTGGTGTTGTTTTAAAGCCGCGTCATTTTTTAGGAGGTAACTCGGCTATCGATTCTGAATCTGAATCAATAAAAAAATTGTAGGTAAATATTTTTCATTTTTCTGTAAATTACGGACATCCGTAAGTGCGAACTACACGCCGCCGTCTTGTAACGAGCTTTATAACGCGGCTTGACACACACAAACTCAAACAAGTAATTAATATTATTCCTAATTCCATAAAACTCCAATAAGAAACATTGCTGTTGCTTATTCTGAAATACTGTCGAACTTAATCGATTTATTATGGCCGTATTTTTAACTATTGGTCCGAAACTTTCTCTTACATTGAACCTTTATGACTTTTGTGACATGCTTCCGAGAAATGACACGGCTTCAAAACTACACCTTGTATATTTATTTCCATTATGTTCACATATACTTAATCTAAGCTTTATTCTAGGTAGGTTACAATACAATGCCTGTATAGAATTAAATCTGTACCACAGGATTTGTGTCAGTCTAACTATGAGCTATTGTTCAACATAAATCCATGTACCTACTGGTAGACGACGAAAATCAATTAAATCATCGTCACTAGTCAGAATTTAATTTGATTCCAGATTTGACATTAGCTACTGTCATTTTGTGAAATAATGATACCACATATAATAGTGTAGTGATGCACACAAAAATCGATAAACAATCAGTGTGTGTGTTTTATAATAAATGTTACAGAAAGTGACAGCGATAGCGATAGCGATGACGGCGACAATTTATAAAATAAATTATTATCATAATACATCTATCTGTTTTATTTGTTATGTTCCTTCATGATCACATTTTTTTATTTATTTCACACACAATTATAAAAGTAAAGTCTCAGGTTGTTAATTAATCGTCAAAACCAAATTCTCTATTCAGAAATTTTAATTTCCTGATATACTTAGTTTACGTGAATAAAATTATAAACGAGAAGAATCGATCCGGAAATTTTCCATTTCCATATCGAATAATTTCGCAACGTCACTATTTAGTACTTGTCATAACGTTGCAACACTGAAATTGTCAAATCTGGAATCGAATTAAAATTCCGAGTATAGTTTAACTCGTTGAGTACCGTTATTATAGACACAATTAAAGAACAATAGGTCGCGGCGCGTGACCGCGCGGTGTTTGACAGTTTAATCTATGTTATCGACAGCACTAGCTTAAAGTTACAAAACTTTTAAGTAAAACTCAATATTTCAATACAGCAAAAAGTTTATTTCAAACCAGCCTTACACGGCGATCGCGAGACGATCTCCGGCCACCGTAAGCACGGGCGGACGGCGAGCATGGGTAGCTCGCCATCATGTTTCTTGAGAGGAACTCCCTGAAAATCATGATACAATATATATTTTTTAATTGTCCACACTAGGATTTTCTCCTGTGTCGTGATAATTGTTACTTTTTTACATAATTATATTTTCTAACCACCTGCATATGTACATTATGGATGCAATAAATACTTGATTACTTGCGTTTACAAACATATGAGTTCACATACACAAGACACTCATACTCAGTACAACGAATTGTGGATTATCTACACTTTTTTTTTCGTACCAAAAACCGTGGGCTAAATATAACTACTTATACTTAGGCCTACGCCTTAGGCAATAAATTATTAATTAAAAGTGTATTTAAAAACTTTAGTATCATGAGTTTAAAAGTGTGGGAGAGACCGGATTGATACCACGGCCGAGCAGAAAACCCACGTGAGACAACGCTTATGTTGTTTTAGGCCGAATTACCCCACCCCCCTCCCAATCTCCCTAGAATCCCCAACACTCCTCAAATTCCTAAACCTCAAAGGGCCGGTACTTGTAACACCTCTGGTGTTCCGAGTATCCATGGGCGGCACCGATAGCTTACCATCAGGTGATCCGTCAGCCCGTTTACCGGTATACCGAATAAAAAAATTCTAAAACTATTAAAAAAAATCTAACTAACCATTTTTTAAGGGATCCGTGTAAAAATCTAACCAGGATCTCGCGATATTCACAAGAGATCTCAATAGGTCATTCCTCTCACTCTCCACTTCGATCCATCGGGTCTCCCTCTCATGTTGCAGTCTATCTCTCTCCTCCTCGGCTTGTAGACGCCTCAACTCTATAGAAGCAAATTGATTCAGTACTTTTTCTAGACCTGTATTTGATTTTCCAGGTGATCTTGTGGACGGATCTGATTTTAGGCGAGATCTCATATTGTACGGGGTTCTTGTCGGTTTTGTTGTCGATCGGCCGTGTGTGGGTGGTTTTACATCTGTTGGTGATTCTGTTTGGTCCATATCTGTATAAAAGGAATATTTTTTGAGTTAAACGTACAGACAATTTTGATTTGCAACTCTATTGTAGAGTATATAGAGTTGAATGTCCAATAAAAATAATAGTAAATATTTTTTATCACGCCTTTTTATCCCCGAAGGCAGAGGCAGAGGTGCACATTAATGCACTTAATGCCATTGTACAATGTAACACTTACTTTTCACTATTTATGTTAAGAGTCCCATGTAATAGGGGGTGAGCCTATTGCCATATACCGGACACAATTCCAGACTGCGTATTTTTTTTAAACCCTTAATACTTTGCCCAACACGGGAATCGAACCCGAGAGGCCTTGCCCGGCTGTCAAACTTGCGACCACTCGGCCAACGTGGCAGTTGTTTACTATTATTGCTATTGTGTACATCAAGTCTATGTACTATACATCAAGCTATGTAACACCAGTACAAACAAACAGTAAAAGTTGCCTGGTAGATTTCGCTAAAGGTTGCCTGGTAGATATCGCTTTTAGCGATAAGGCCGCCTTTGTACCCTATTTTCTTTATTTGTTCCTGGATTATACTGGTGTACAATAAAGATTATTATTATTACAAACAGATCGTCAACTAAATAAATCCCCCCACAATCCTCAAACTTCTAATTCCCAAAAGGCCGGTAACGCACTTGTAATGCCTTTGGTGTTTCGTGTGTCCATGGGCGACGCCGATTGCTTACCATCAGGTGCTTATTGCTTACTTATATATTATAAATCGGAAAGTGAGTTTGTTTGTTTGTTCCACTTTAACGCCCTAACTACTAAACCGAATGCTTTGAATTTTTACAGACGTATAGTTAGAAGTCTGGATTAAATAATAGGGCACTTTTTATCCCCGAAAAAATTGATATTCCCGAGGGAAAACAAAAGTATTGGTATAGATGGCGCTGTGTGCATTGGTATGTCACATTGGCTTTTTATCCTTTTGTGACGCGAGCGAAGCCGCGGGTGAAAGCTAGTTATAAAAAAATTATGTACACACCTGATGCTGCTTCTTCGGAAGCTGACAGTTCTTCATCAGACTGTTTTGCATTCACCGAATTTTGTGGACTCTGAAACAAAAGAAACAAAATTGTTTTTTTTCTTATTTTTTTTTTAAATTGAATAATGTGAAGTCTATTCGTGAAAACCTGTAATTGGCTTTCTGGTGTTATTATGTTATCTGTTTGTTTGCTATGTGTAGCTGTTGGTTTTCCAATCCATAAATAAATAAATAAATTGGATACTAGTCAAATTCAATATTTTTTTCGAACTGTCAAAAACGACAGTTTTCACAGGCAGAGGTGTCGGCATTAAGTGCCGAAATGTGCACCTCTGTCTACCCCTTCAGGGATAAAAGGCGTCATATTATGATATAGAATTATAGATGGTGTTACGTTACAACAACTTACATTATCCTCCTGCTCCTCAAGCTCCTCATTTAATACCTCCTCGGTCTCCTGTTTGACCTCCCAGGGTGAGGGCACCGCCAGTATCCTCCTCTCCAATGGCGTGAGCATCAACTCTCCAGTCGGTCTACTATCAGCATTGGCTTGCCGTAAGGAGCGTGCTTTCCTCTTCGTTTTCGATTTCCAATCGGTCCAGACCTGATAAAAATTAAATCATTCTTTCATATTCTCTTTTTTTTAAGTCGGTTAATATAAAAAAAAATATAGGATAAGCCGGTAAACTAGCAAACAGATCACCTGATGGTAAGCAATCAGCGTCGCCCATGGACATCAGTTACCGGCCTGTTGGGGATTCGGGATAGGGGAGATTAAGGGCCAATTGGGTCTCCGGTAACCTCACTCAAACGACGAAACACAACGCAAGTGTTGTTTCTATATACTATGTAGTGATGAGATGAGACGGGAGATCGTGAGGAAAGCTGTATCGGCCCCCAAGACAAATATGGCCGCCTCAACGTGACCACGACCGCTCTTCCAAGAGTGATACTGACGATGACCAAATTACCTTTTTCCATTTATCCGGGCTCTTCTGTCTAACATTATCAACTGCGTTCAATGTCAGAGCTAGTTCCCGCCACAAACGTTTGGCTTTACGTCTGGTTTGAGGTCCACCACGGAGCCTAGTTATGTCACCATGTCTGTAAATTAAAATTATATTAGGTTTTTTTTTTAAGGTGGGATAATCATCGAATGACTGCTCCCGCCTGGGTGAGGCGGGAGGGAGTGTCAGGCTCTTACTGACTAAAAACCACCCCGTTCCTACTCTTGCACGTCGAGCCGGAGCCCCGGTAACCCGGTAGGTTCTCCGCGACTCCGAATTATTAGGTACTTTAGATTTATTATATAGGGTGCTATATAATTACCTGCCAAGGCTTTAATGGGAGCTAGTATTTATTGTGTTTACAGATTACAATAGTGAAGAAATTTCATACCCCGGACCCGGACCAGCTAATTCAATTTGAGAAGATAAAGAAATTAAGTAAACATTGACTCTACTCTGCATAATGTGGTTCACAAATTACGCGCGATGCGTCGCTTAGTCAATGAAAACAATTGCTATCTCTTTCCACGTGTACTGAGAATGAAAACGGAAATCAGCTGACTAGTTCGTCGCGATCTAATCTTAGTAGATAGTATCTAGTGATACTCAATAGGCAAGCTAACAAGGGTTTTAAAAGTGCAATTACATCCAAAAAACTGATGGTAGGTAAATAAAATGATAATTTTCCCATCACACTAAAAACAGGCTTTGGACTGTCAAGTTAGCGTAAGAATCGTATTTTTTTATTGATTTTAATTTAAATTAATATCAAATAACCATAAACTGTACCTTAGCGTATTTTAAGTAAATAATAAAAAATTGTTAATATTTACAACAATTGCATCGTATTTACAATTATTTACACACTCCCTACTTATCTACAAAACTGTTGCACAAGTCCACCTTCGCGTTTTACACAAATGAAGGCACGCTTCCAAACATGTCATATCACATTATTTAATGTGTCCGTTTCACTTTTACTTGAAAAAGACGCCCAAAAAAGATTGATTTAAAAAACGCCACACGTACCTAACTGTCGCTAACATCGTAAACTCCGGCAGTATTCCTTGTGCTCGCAAGAGGATGACGCCGAAAGAACTCTAACACTTCCTCTTCGAGTTCGGCCGATAATGGGACCTGACTGCCGGGTCAACGCGGCCGTGTTCGTGGAATCGGTACCTAGGCATCCAGGATGGTATGACCGCTCACTCGCACATCGAACCTCTGGTACAAATTAACCGCATGTGCAGTTATGGAGCTACACCCGCGTGACCCGCGGTAGCACTACACCATTTCAAGATATTGTTGATTTGAATTTCGTCGCCTGGGAGGCACTTTTTACGTAGCGCGCGCGTATACCCGACACGGAAACTGACGTGTGGGTAGACGGAGGTTGACTGGGCTACTGGCGGCTGGGCGGCGCGTGAGACGAGTTCTGTTCTGGGGTGTGCGCGGGGCTGTGCATGCATTGGCGAGCTCCTCGCCGCCTAGCCGGCGCCTGTGTCGGCGCCGAGCTGTCTCGTTCTCGAACGCCCCGTCATACACTGTTGCCATTCTTCTTTCTCGTTTTCTTTCAATCTGCCATTATCACGATAAGAATGGCAACAGTGTATGACGGGGCGGTGCCCGCGTTTTGCGAATTGAATAAAATTCGAAGCATTGCGGCAACCCGGGATAGTTTTTTGCCGATAAATCAATACAAATGAATACGTAGATTTTTTTGTATGAAAAAAAAATGACTCATAATAAATTATTTATACCTACTAGGTATTATGATATTACTAACACATTATCTCCCATTAAAGCCGTGGCAGATAATTATAGGTATTATACCTATAATAATTAACTCTATGTATAACTGCCTCGTTGGCCGAGTGGTCGCAAGTGCGACTGCTAGGGGTTCGATTCCCGGGTCGGGCAAAGTATTAAAAATTCTGGGTTTTAAAAAAAATCTCAGTAGCCCGGAGTCTGGAATTGTGCCTGGTATATGGCAATAGGCTCACCCCAATTACATGGGACTCAACATAAATAGTGAAAAGTGGGTGTTACATTGTATAGTGGCATAATGTGCACCTCTGTCTACCCCTTCAGGGATAAAAGGCGTGATGTGAGTTACACATCACGCCTTATGTACTATAATGTGGATAAAAACCCCTTACTAAATAAAGGAGAAAAAAAACTATGTACTGTAGTCTGTATCTATAAATATAAATGTATCTTTTTTGTTAAGCGGGGAAAATCATCGAATGACTGCTCCCGCCTGGGCGAGGCGGGAGGGAGTATCAGACTCTTACTGACTAAAAACCACCCCGTTCCTTCTCCTGCACGTCGAGCCGGAGCCCCGGTTACCCGTTAGGTTCTCCGCGACTCCGAATCGGCATCGGCCCTATTGGGCCCCATCTGTGGTGGTCTGATGGCTCTTTGAGGCGCGCGCGGAACGCGACGCGCCGTACAGAGAACAGACCCGTAGAAACAGACCCGAGGTCTGTTTCTGGTCGGACGGTGGCCGGAGATCGTCCCGCGATCCCCGACGCCCAGTGTGTCCTTCGCGATGGCTGGGTTGCGAAGAGGCATAACATGTGATACTTAGTCATGAAAAGAGCTATCTACCGACATATGTTTGGTTGTTATTTTTTTTTTTATTTAACACTTTTTGTACAAATTAATACAATGGCGGACTTAATGCCGAATAGCATTCTCTACCAGCCAACTATAGCGTGATGCAGAGAAGTGTCACAGTAGGTTTTTAAAGAAGTTTGCATTTACTGAACAAAAAAAACGAGGATGATAAATGTATGTATATATAAAGGTATCCTAGTACATAAACTACATACCAATACTACATACTAATATGAAACATTAATATTATGTAAATAATTAATGTAAATAGTTATTGGTCGGTAAGTACATTTTCCATAAATGTTTGCCCGTCATCCATTGAATTATTTAGTTTAGAGCTGATTTACCAACACCAGATTACTGTATTAACCTGTATATTAAATGACAATGACCAAATTTGTATGGAGCGTGGTGCCTTTTCATTTTTTCGCGGCAGTTGATCGGATGTGGAAAAATAGATGCAGAATAACATTACAAATAAAAAAATGTATGGGGTCTTATATCAAAAACACAGTCCAAACCGAGTTAAATCAGTTCAAAGATGTGAAAATAGTGCTATATAATTCCTTTGATTTTGTTGATGGTGACCGTACACATCGCATATTTCTTCATTTACTTGTCAGAAATATTTTGTAATAAATGTTTATAGACGATTTTAAGGAATATAATAAAGCTTATTATGGACTTTTATAATTATTATTTTTTGTTTATTTCTTTTTTTTGTTATAAGGCCACGGATTCAGAACAGAGTGATCCATTAACTGACCATTGCTGAAGAAAAAAAAACATTTCGTTTGATTGGCTAGCATGTTCAATTTATATGTATACGGTTTATGGCCTATGACAGATTTTCATGATCAATTTCCTCTCAGTCAAAAACCCGCAAAATACTTTACTGAGCCCTATCATGAAATGCTATGTTTGTCAGCTGCGGCGTCGGTAGCGGATTGAGTAGTAACAGTCATCAAAACACGAAAAAATCATTTTTATGTCTACTTCTCCTGACTTACTTCCGATTAGTAACTAACCTAACTACAGTTAATACTTTAATCTACATCTAGCATAAGATTCTGTAAAAAGACATCGTCATTCAGTCACAAAGTGAAGCATTTCGAATGATCACATTATATGAAAAAATTATGCGCTCATCTGACGTATAGTCCATCACTTTACAAAGTCGACGGTTTGCTTTTTTCAAAAAATTATGCTAACTATAATGTAGATGAGTCTCCCACCAGGAGTCAACGGCAAAAAAATACTTTATTAGATGTTTGGACGGCTACTACTACTCAACCCACCAACGGTACCACAGCTGACACTCATGAAGCTTCATGACACAACTCCTAGAAACATCCCACAAGTTATCGACTGAGAGAAAATAGCTAATAAAAATTATCGACTGGCAATATGGATATATTGTGGTGTGATTTGGTGTTTCTGTGCCCGGCGTACAGTGGCGCGCAATTTGAAGTTAGGAATTGTGACAAAAATATGAATAATTTGAATAAAACAACAAAAGTAAAATGTTTGATTCCAGCTCCTTTCAACGCTCATAACTCAGTCCAGACTGAGATTTCCATATATGAGCCCATAGACAATTTCGTTTGTAATGACATTCTAGATAATATTTTCCATAAATCATCGACTGCCGCCAGAAAAAAGAAAGGCACCAATTTTAGTCAATGCCCTTTAATTTTATGAATAATAAAATATCTGTTGATAGAAAAATCAGTCATAATAATCATAATCATAATCATTTATTTATTTGTAACATAAGTGGTATTATATGGATGTTCATAAGTTAATAACAAATTTAGTTACACTATGGTTCGCCTTGCTTGGCGTACAAATATTAATATACCTTAAATAAAGAAACAAAAGTACCATTGTAAAAAAAAATATGTTTCAGATATTTTTAGCCGTTGTAAAAAAAAAAAGTGTGTCAGACATTTTTTACAAGTACCTATTGTTATGACTTTGTTATTTTTTTTGTTTAATATGGCTTTTAGTTATATATTATGCTAACTTTACTTAAATTATTAAATGAAAACTTCATTTTAAACTGACTAGATTGCTTACTTGAACAGTATTGTTAGTTAACTCGTCGAGTACCGTATTTATAGACACAATTAAAGAACAATAGGTTGCGGTCACCGGTGACCGCTCAGTGTTTGACAGTTTAAATAAAAATTTAGTTGTTTTCAAATTAAACATTGTGCATATATACATAACATCACGCCTTTTATCCTCAAATGGGTAGGCAGAGGTGCACATTATGCTACTGTACAATGTAACACCGACTTTCCACTATTTATGTTATGAGTCCCATGTAATAGGGGGTGAGCCTATTGCCATGTACTGGGCACAATTTCAGACTCCGTGCAACTACTGTGAACTTTTAAAAACCTTGTAGTACTTAGCCCGACCCGGGAATCAAGGGGTCTCCCCTTGCCCGGCAGTCGCACTTGCAACCACTCGGCCAAAGAGGCAGACTATATTAAATATTGTGTTAAAACCCAAAACATACTAAGAGTCCAGGTATGTACATAATAAAAATTAAAATTAAAACTTGTACACAGTAACTAACTTTAAGTTCTGATTAATCCCCAAGCGGTCACCGGTGACCACTCTCTGTCCACAATCTCCATTATTGACCTTATTTCTGAAGTTTAGAGACTACTTTTGTATGAAACAGTTTTCAGTATGATATCAATGTATTAAATTTAGTGTTACAAGTAGGTACACAACGCCTTTATGTCCCATTATTTTACAATAATATTTTATATCTGTCATCCCATTCCATTATTAAATGTTTTAAATGTACATTCTACATTTTAATCTTACATGAAGTACACATATATTCTGCAGAATTTATTTTATTTACATAATTTCATATTTATTTTCTTTTGTTATTGAGGGGCGGTACCGACGTCTGTGAGTCACAGCAGGGTGCCACCTAAAAAACTAGCATTGGGCAGGAACGCTCAACTATATGCTGAGGCGGAGGCCTATTTGGTATAAGCACATGCAAATTAATATTATTATTTTGTTTTTTTTTTTGTATATTTATATTCTGTTATTATCATAATATTGTTATTTTGTTACACTGTGATGTTTTTGGTTTTGTTCTTTATCTTTTAAGTTTATTATTAGAGGTAGTATTTTGTTTAGGTGTCTGTATTTTTATTTTATTATAATCTTTGTTTTGTATGCCTGTCTCGCTGGCCGAGTGGTCGCAAGTGCGACTGCCGGGCAGGGGGTCTCGGGTTCGATTCCTGAGTCGGGTAAAGTATTACTGGGTTTTTTAAAAAGATCTCAGTAGTAGCACGGTGTCTGGGATTGTGCCCGGTATATGGCAATAGGCTCACCCCCTATTACATGGGACTCATAAAATAAATAGTGATAAGTGGGTGTTACATTGTACAGTGGCATAATGTGCACCTCTGCCTACCCCTTCGGGGATAAAAGGCGTGATGTTATGTTTATGTGTTGTTTTGTGTGCTAATTTCCAAATAAATGTTTTTTCTTTCTTTCTTTTCTTCTTAACTACTTACTTCCAAAAGAATATTATTAAGGTAATGCACTACGATAGAAGTCAGCTGTAGCCTTCATTTAAAGTATATGATAGAATATTAAAAAATACTTAAGTAGGTACTTACTCTTCCATAAACTTCAAAAGGGTAACAAATTGTATCATACTGGAACGTACTCTGGTCTCCATATTTGATCAAATAAACTATCTTACAAATCTATACAAATAGATGAGATGGTCAAAACTTGAATTTAATAGAATAGCTACTAAATTCTCCCTATTTTGACGGGAGATTTTTCTTACTGGTATTATTTTACTGTTAAGACAATGACGCTATACTAGCACACCGGCGTTATAACGACAATGTGTTTATCTTATTCGAATCACTATTTACATTTAATTATTCACTTAGACACGAAAACTATTATGGTTCAGTTAAATTAACACTTATATTTACTATCCGTACACAAATATACCACAAAAACTACAATAATTATAACGATAAACATCCAATTTTGACGTTTAATGTCGACTGAACTGACAACTGAACGAACTTTGAATGATTTGAAAGATCGCAATGTTTCTTCACTCCTTAACTCCTTATGAAACACCGCGGCAAATTGACATTTATTTGCACTTCATGTAATATCAATTTACAACTCTATTTCAATACCGTAAGGGCTATATTTGCTTGAGATTGTAGTTTAAATAGATAACTGTTTAGCGTGTACAAATAACACAGCAATGTCATCGTAAGCTAACGACCGCAAAAATAGCGCGAAATGTCGGTGACCACAATTTTTTTATCCGACTTAAACAAAGGAGGAGGTTCTCAATTCGACCGTATATATGCTTTTTTTTTAATAATTTTATTCATGACCAAAGATACAAGTTTTTCAGTCGAATACATAGAAGTGACCACAGACTACTTAGAGATACTACGTATGAAGCATAGAGCAATTATTTTGAAAGTTTAAAAAAAATATCTTTAAAAAACCAATACTTTGTTGACTTTTTTAAAAACATGAAAAAAACATTTTGTAAGAACATTTTTACACACGTCGCATTTTTATGCATCTGTTTACACTATAAAATAATCATCTGGCATCACCAGACAGAGAATGTGTACAAAGAATGCATGGAGTTATAACGTGAGTGTATAATATGTATAACGGAACGGTACAAATACCAATTACACTACTCAATAATATACAATTGGGATGATGACAAGGTATGAAAATTAAAAAACTAATTAGTCCGTATGATAGGTAATAAAATATTAGACACTTAGGTATTTATTTATTTTGTCGTACCTACCTATAATAAAACAATACTGAGATAAAACGAATCAAACTTTAGAAGTCAGGCTAAAACGTCAATTCTACGTATAAAATGTACATATAAGTGACGTCACGCGACATTACAAATCAATATACCGTCGAAAGTATTCGTTTCTGTAAGAAAATAAAAAATACGTTTCTAATGATTTAAAATAATCTACCAAACGGACATTAAAATAAAAATTAGGCATCTACCCTATTAAAAGAAATTACTACGTAGTAGGTATAAAACAAAGTCGCTATCCGCCGTCTGTTTGTCCCTATGTAGGTATGCTTAAATCTTTAAAACTACGCAACAGATTTTGATACGGGTTTTTTTATTAGATAGACTAATTCTTATGGATGGTTTATATGTTTAGTACATACATATTGCACCCGTCCGAGGCCGGGGCGGGTAGCTAGTATAAAATAAAATACAAAATTTTAATACTTAATTATGATTAGTTACTATCATTCATGCATCTCTATCGCAGAAGTTCATGCATTCTGACAAAAATAATTTTCTATCATTTGAGAATACATCAGACTCTGGCGTTAAGTTCAGTAAAGGAATCGGTAAGTTTCATTGTGCTTAAATTGTGTTGTGTGTGCCGATTCGGAGTCGCGGAGAACCTAACGGGAACGGGTAACCGGGGCTCCGGCTTGACGTGCAGGAGAAGGAACGGGGTGGTTTTTAGTCAGTAAGAGTCTGACACTCCCTTCCGCCTCACCCAGGCGGGAGCAGTCATTCGATGATTTTCCCCTCTTAAAAAAAATTGTGTTGTATTGACGTGTTTCGTCGTGTGAGTGAGGTTACCGGAGGCCCAGCTCCCTCTCCTCAACAATCCTCAATCTCCTAATCCCCAAAAGGCTGGTAACGCACTTGTAACGCTTCCTACCTATAACTTAACCTATCATACTAGTTTTATGCTAAAAATGTTGGCCAATTTCAAATCAAAATAATTTTGGTTTGGCTAAGTGCTAAGCTAAAAAAACGTGGAACTTTTTTTTAAACATAATATAAAATTACTTCTTTTATCACCGAAGGGATAGGCAGAGGTGCACATTATGCCACTGTACCATGTAACACCCACTTTTGGCTATTTATGTTATGAGTCCCATGTTATAGGGGGTGAGTCTATTGCCATATACCAGGCACATTTCCAGACTCCGTGCTACTTCTGAGGTTTTTACAAACCCAGTAAAACTTTGCCCGAACCGGGAATCGAACCCGAAACTCCTTGCCCAGCAGTCGTACTTTCACCACTTGGCCAATGAGGCAGTTATATTGATTAGTGTTAGGTACATTTTTAACGCATTTCCTAAAGACTTAATATTTTGAGTGCGTCACTGTCATAGTACCTATAAAAGGATGTTATGACGTTATTCTAAGACATAAAATAAAATGAATTCGTGAAAAATTTTAACGGAAATCTCAACAGAGAGCAACCAACATACTGTTTGTTACAAGTCGACAAGGTATTGCCGATGTCTGTGTTAGCGTAGCTCTTAATAATTAAGTCCAATAAAACAAAATCTATATAACAACAAAATATCCTTTATTCACTTCACTTGACTAAAAAACGAAATAAAATTACAATAACAAACTCAACAATGCTTGTACAACCATAACAACAAGCTGCAACAATCCTGGCAACAACGCGCCGCCGATGCCTGTCAAAACGTCATCTGTCAAATCGGTGACAGATGAAATCAGTGTTGTCAGCAATCCTTGCAAATTTACAATATTTGCGGGAGGCGTGTTTGGACTCGCTCCAATGGCGTATTCCGGTAACGATCGTAAGAAATTAACAATTGCTAGGGCTTGGGAATATAGCTTAAGTAGTGAAGTTTCTAAGGCACTTAGGTCAACGGGAATCATGCAACTTATGTTCGCTGGGAGGGTGTCGAAGATTGAGAGGAGGGAGAGTAGTAGATTGTACACGTTGTTCAGTAAGGGCAGCAGTATGTTTACTAGTGGGTACACTGCTGGCAGTTGCACGCCTGTCGCTGTTGTCGGTTGCTGTAAAAAAAAGTTATGTATCTATAACAAGTTGTGTGATGAAGGCACATATGTCTGTTTCCACCCTTATCCTCCTCGCGGTAGTCCTAAGGGGCCGCTCGAATATAAAGTAAGCAGATTTTTTTCAATTATTTATCCCCCTATCCCCCTTGTCAGCAAAAGTAAGCAAAGATCTTACCCCCTCCCCCTTTGCTTGCGTAAACATTTTAAATTATATATGTTTTATATTGTAATTTTACATAATATTCTCTTATTTTAAACTTCTCCAGTAGAATTCAATAATTTTCTGTCAAAAACGACAGTTTTCTATGAATTTTGTACGAGATGGTGTATTGAAGAATGATGATTCCAGGCTATTTTTTTCTTTAATACCTAATTAACTCGTCGAGTACCGGTTTTATAGACACAATTAAAGAACAATAGGTCGCGGTCACCGGTGACCGCTTGGTGTTTGACAGTTTAAAGAAAAAAATAGCCTGGAATCATCAAACCTCTTTTAGCCTGACTAACCTACATGGGACTAGAGTAATGTGACTGGGGTAAAGTAGGTGTTATATTATTACTAGCTTTTACCCGCGGCTTCGCTCGCGTCACAAAAGGATAAAAAGTAGCCTATGTGACATATACCACACAGCGCCATCTATACCAATACTTTTGTTTTTCCTCGGGAATATCAAATTTTTCCGGGTTAAAAAGTAGGTACCCTATTATTTAATCCGGACTTCTGACTTTACGTCTGCAAAAATTCAAAGCAATCGGTTCCGTAGTCAGGCGTGAAAGTGGAACAAACAAACAAACAAACAAACTCACTTTCAGATTTATAATAATTATATTATATATATTATATATAGTAAGCATTTACACCTTCGGATATTAACAGGTGCGATAAGTAATGTAATATTAGGTTTATTAAAATTATATTTTCTTACCGAACCCAATACAGCAGCGAAACACACAACCAAGACGACTAGACTAATCTTCGACATTTTAAACAAATGAATACAGTTTATTTGGACCTAAACAATATTTACTATGTTTTTTAAAACTACAATAACACTGTTATATACTAAATTTGTTACTTAACCTCGTTTTTATGTACAAATACATAACGATAATAAATATAATCGTTTGTATGTTTATCTTTACAACTATTACTAAATGAATGTAAAGCAATTTATTTTGCGTAATTTTCGCTTTTACATAGTTATTGTGTTTCTATGTGAATTTACATAATTTTTTTTTTGGGGCAAGCCCGCCACAAGCTCCCAAAACCGCTGCAACTCCTGTAAGCCAGGAAACCAGGCCAGGAGAGCCATGCTTCGGCACGAATGGGCCGGCTCGACCGGAGTGATACCACGGTCTCACAGAAAACCGACGTAAGTCGTTCGGTAACCTCACTCACACGACGAAGCAACGCTTGCGTTGTGTTTCGTCGTGTGAGTGAGGTTACCGGAGGCCCAATTACCCTCCCCTTCCCCAATCTCCCTAATCCCTGAATTCAAAACGATGCTTAAACTTCTAATCCCCAAATAGCCGATACCGCACTTGTAACGCCTCTGGTGTCCTAGGTGTCCATGGGCGACGCCGATTGCTTACCATCAGGTGATCCGGCTGCTAGTAAACCGGCTTATGCCATAAAAAAAAGACTAGCTTCTGTGAGGCCGTGGTATCACTCCGGTCGAGCCTGCCCATTCGTGCCGAAGCATGGCTGTCCCACACATAAAGTCTATAATATGTATTAGCAACATTACTTTGTAGGTGACAAAAAAACCATGAACTTTCAATAAAAGGAATTACCAAAAAAAGGTGCGGAGGGTTTAATAGGAAAATGGAAGCTCCAAATAACG